AACTATATATGTTGTCTAAAGAAATTCACTTCATCTGTAAGGGCACACACAGAATGAGAGTAAAAGACTTGAATAAGATGTTCCATGCAGATGAAATCCAAAGAAAGTAGGAATCATACTTACACCAAATAAAATAGACTTTAAAATAGAACAAGTGAAAAATAGACTAGGAAAGTCATTATATAATGATAAAGAGATCAATTCAGCAAGAGGAAATAACAATTCTAAATATATAAGTACCCAATGCAGAATACCCAAATACACAAAGCAAATATTAATAGATCTAGAAGGAGAGAAGCTCAGTACAATAACAATTGGGATCCTAATACCCCACTTTCAGTGATGGGCAGATCACCCAGACCGAAAACCAGTAAAGAATGAACAGGATTAAATAGTACCCTAGATCAAATGAATAAAACAGACATCTACAGAATATTACATCCAACAACTGCAGAATCCACACTTTTTTGCAATCACCTGTGAACTATTCTCTGGGATAGAGCATATATTAAGCCATAAAAGTATCTAAACATATTTTTAAAAATCAAAGTCATATCAAATATCTTCTCTGATCACAATATAATAAAACTAGAAATCAATGACAAGAAAAACTTTGAAAACTATACAAAGACAGTGTATGGAAGTTAAACCACTTACTCCTGAACAACCAGTGGATCAGAGAAGAAATCCAGACAGAAATTTTAAAATTCTTTAAATGAATGAAAATGGAAGCAGAACATACCAAAACTTACAGGATACAGCAAAAGCACTAGTAAGATGGAATTTAAAGAAATCAACACCTACAACAAAAAAGGGGAATGATCACAAACAAGCTGTCACTGTGCCTCAAGGAGCTGGAAAAATAAGAACCAAACTAGCGATCAGTAGAGGGAAAGAAGTAATAAGTCAGAGCAGAAATATTTATTTATTTTTGGTCTTATTTTTTTTTTTTTTTGAGACAGGGTCTCATTATGCAGTTCTGGCTGTTCTTGAACTCACTTTGTAGCCCAGGATGGTCTTCAACTCACAATGATCCTCCTGCCTCAGCCTCCCAAGTGCTGGGATTACAGGTGTGCACCACCACACCCGGCTCGGAGCAGAAATAGAGGCTATAAAAACCATGCAAAAGACCAATAGAACAAAGAGTTGATTCCTCAAAAAGATCAGAACGCTTGACAAATTTTTAGCTAGGTCAATTAAGAAATTGAAGATTCAAATAAATAATATTGGAGATAAAAAGGAATATATAACTGTCACCACAGACATATTAAGGATCTTTAGAGAGTACTGTGAAAAGCTATATACTAACAGATTTGATAACTGCGAAGAAAAGGACATGTTCCTAAGCACATGCACCTTACCAAGACTGCGTCATGAAGAAATCAAGAACCAAAACAGACCGGTAATGAATAACAAGACTGACTCAGTACTAAAAAGCCTCCCATCAATGAAAAGCCTGGAACCACATGTGTCACTGAAGAGCTCCCCCAAACACTTAAAGAAGAACGGACACCAGTCCTTCTTACATTACTGCACAAAGTTTAGGAGGAGGGAAGTCTTCCAGAGGCATTTGTATGAGTCCAGCATTACCCTGATACCAAAACCAGGTAAGGACACAACAAACAAAGCCAATTAAGAGGCAATATTCTTGATGAAGATACACATGAAATCCTCAGCCAAATACTACTCCCTTTAGCAATTTAAAGAGAGGTAAGTTACCTGACATGCTCATTCCCTGAGTTACGTTACCTGACATGCTCACAATTCTTCCAGGAATGATTACACTGTAAGATATGGCCCATTCCTCGGTCTTCAAAGCTGCACTATTGACTGTTTTTATAGCTTAGTCTAGAAGAACTAATACCAATACTTTATGTAAGAAAAAATGACTCAATTTTATTTTACTGTGTTAAAAAAATGACTCAATTTTATTTTACTGTGTTAAAAAGACCATTAAGTGCTGATCATATCTTTTATAGCATACACAGCCCTGGACTATGTCTCCGAATGGCTATGAACTACATTTCTGAGGGATGTGTGTGCTGGGAGAACAACAGGTAGCTAGCAAAGGATGTTAATGAATTGGATTCTCCCCCTGTTTTGAGTTCCACTTTTTGTTACTAGTTTTGCAGGTATATTCACAAATGTCTTACATAATGTTTCCTTATAAATAAAATTCTAAATCTGGATTAAGAGGTGCACAAGATAATGGATTAGCCTGAAGACACAGAAGATCTTGATTTCTGAATGCCCTGGGTCAAGCCACTTAAATTCCCTGACCCCCTAATTTCTCCTATTAAACTGGAAAATTAAAGCTAAAATATTGATGCTTCTGATTCTGGAGTTAATTCAACGTGAAGAAAACTAACTTCCTAGAAGAGACACCAGCAAATAGCATGCATTTGGAAGAGTGAATGAATCTTAGTACAGGAAGAGAGAAAACATTATTTATTAATCACCCTTGCTGATTGCTCCATTGCCCTGTAATCTATATACTATGTGAGAGTTGAAAGTATAGTCTGCTTCTGTTATGAAAATCCATTTATTTAATAACTAATCTTTAACTATATTTTCTTTCCCAATGTGTTCTTCAGTGATTAGTAAACAGAAACAGCATAATGATGACTCTTTCTAAACAGTCAAACTAAAATGTTTTCTCAAGCACTTAGCTAACTAATAGGGCAGAGTGTGGAAATAGGGGGGATAAGGCTTCTTATCAATAATACAGGCATTATTGAAGAAGTCAACTTCTTCTGCTAGAAAAGTCACCTGGAGGTGTACCACATCAAAGAGCAAACATGTGCTGAGATCTATTTGTCCTGATTATTCCCTTTGGCATGTTGCTGAATTCCTTGTACTGCTCTTTGATTGCTTTTGAACTCTGCCCCACCCTAAATGTGGAGAACCCAGAGAAGAGATAGTTCTGGCATAAGGGTCAGCAGCAGGCACAGAGCGGTGATGCTGGGGGCTGCTCCATGCTGAGATTCTCTGGGAGCCTTCTCGGCCCAGGAGGACCTGGGAGGGGTCCTTAGCCTCCCACCACACCCAGGAGTTGGGAGTGACCATCGGGAAGTGCATTGCTTCTAATTTAATTTTCCTTGAAAAATAGTCCTCAGTATATATTGTGTGTATTTCAGTGACACTAAGCCACCATGCACTTAGCTGCAACATTATTTTGTGGGTTGTTTTGTTTTGTTTTGTTTTTTTAAAGAGAAGAACAGTAAAAACAATGATACAAAATTTCAAAACAAGGTGACAGGAGAGTAACAATAGTTAATATATTGTGTATTGTTATATTCAAAGTAGTTGCTCAGATTACAAGACCTAGGCATGAAAAATTAATCAAACAATATAATCATGAATGTTTCTCTTCAATGAACTAAAAGGAATTAGTAGTATAATTATCTTACCTTATATATATATTTGTATATTTATATATTTTTTATATATTTACATATATATTATATTTTTATATATATTTGTTTGTCCCTTCCTTCTTGTCTCCTTTCCCTCATCCCAGTTTCTCTTTCCTTTTGAGCAGTTCTTCCCGTTTCATAATATCTATTGTACATTTTAGATCTTATTTATACTTTCAGCTTCTTACACTAAGGGCACAATGCAATGTTTATACATGTGAGTCTGATTTATTTCACTTATGAGTATGGTCTCTAGTTGCATCCATTTACTTACAAAATTCTTAAGTTTATCCTTCTTTATGGCTGGGTAGTACTCCATTATATAAAAATACCACATCTTTTTTTTATGCATTCCTCTGTTTATGGGCATTTGGGTTGTTTCCAAGATTTAGCTATGACAAATTGTGCTGTTATAAACATGGGTGCACATATATCACCATGGTATGATGTTTTTAATTCTTCTGGGAAAATAACCAGAGGGGGAATAGCTGGGTTAAGTGGGACCTCTATCTTAGTTTTTGAGGACTCTCCACACTGATTTCCACAGTGGTTGCACCAGTCTACACTCCCACCAGCAGTGGAGAAGGGTTCCTTTTTCCCCCACAGCCCTGCCAGCATTTGTTATTGGTTGATTTCTTGAAGATAGCCATTCTTTCTGGGATGAGATGGCATCTCAGTGTTGTTTTCATTTGCATCTCTTGAATGACCAGTGATGTGCAACATTACTTTGTGATCTAGTAAAAAAGAAAAAGCTGTGACATGCTGGTAACATCACCACTTGGAAAAGTCTTTCTTGGACCTGTAGGGCTTCATCCTGCTCCAGTCAGCATCTTGACGAAGGAACTCAGCCCCTCCTCCTTCATCATCACCTACTTAGGATACATTTTGACTGCTGGGTTCATTCTTTCACTCCACCACAATGGAAGTTCCAGAGAGCAAAGGCTTGTCTCTGCCCCTCTCCCTCGCCTCCCCCTCCCCTTCCCCCCTCCCCCCCCTCCCCTTCCCCTCCCCTTCACCTTCCCCCCCTCCTCTTCCCTTCCTCCCTTCCTCCTCCCCTCTTCCCCCCTCCCCTTCCCCTCCCCTTCCACTCCCCCTCCCTCTCTGCCCTACAGCAGGGCCTGAGACATAATGGGCACACAGTGATTATTTTTGAATTTTTGAGTAAATGTTACAAAATTTCAATCTCAAGGCAAAGCATCTCACGCTTTTCATGCATATACCTGTATTCTATACCTTTTCATCATGTAAATCATATGTATTTGCTACACACACAAGTCAATATCCATTTTTTAATTCTTTTTCTCAATTTAGATCTAATTAATGACTATCTTTGAGCAATTCAAATTGAGCAAAATCATTAAGCTTACCATACTTTTATGTTACAGATCCTAGCTCTGTCTCAGCAGAGAGTGGATTTTGGTGATTAAAATACGGTTACGCACTGTTCCCTGGCCCCCTTGACCACTGCCCATTGGGCTGAAGGGAAGGAGGGCAAACTCGGCTTTAGTGTCCCCTCTCTGTCACCGGGGCTACCTGCCCTCCTTGTCCCCAGATGGTGTCTTTGAGCCTTACTGTCTCTTTCAGGTTCTTCACCAGTCTAGGCCGGACTCCACTGCCACAAAAGTAGATGGAAACCACACAGGCCCAGGTGATTTTCCCCATCTTGTTCTCTCGGGTATGCTCTGGTTGTCATCACTGCTGACTCCGAGAAAAATTAAAAAGAAACGGAAAAAGCCCCTTAGTGACTCCAGGTGGGGTTTGACACCACGGCTATTAAGCACACTCCGAGAAGCAGTCCAGGCGTGATGCTGGCTGTGGCTGGACACTGAGCTGAGTATCTCACAGGTTGCCCCCTGGCTTCTCAGAGCAGGTCTATGGCAGAAAGCTGGGAAATGGACAGCCAGAGACAGAGTGGTCCCTGTCACTCTCCCCTGTGGGCTGAGTGACTGAGCTAAAGACCTGGCGTTGAGAAATGGCCCTGGATGACCACAAGGCCCTAATGCAGTCACAGATGTCCACATGAGAGGGGGCAGGGGGAGGATGGACACGGGCAAAAGAGAGGTGGGTGGTGGAACCACAGAGGCAGAGCCTGAGATGCCAGCAGCCGCCAGAGACAGCAAGAGTGGGAAGGGAGACTCCCGAGGGTCCTGGAGGGCCAAGCCCTGCCCACCGCAGGGCTCCATCTCAGATTTCCAGCCTCCAGGACTGAGAGAGAACAAAGGTCTATCTTCTATGTACTCAATTTGGGGTGCCTTGTTACCACAGCCACGGAGCGTAAGATGCCTACAAATCGAAGATCAAAAGCTTTTTCATTTTTAAAAGCACACTTGGGCCTGGAAAGGTTCAGTCAGTGTTTACACAATTAATTCTTTCTAGGGGCAGACTTAAAACCCCCACTGTCTGGCTTTAGAGCCTGTGCTCTTAAATCCTAGGTTCTATTTTCAGCTGAATCATGAAGCAAATGTATGTATTTATTTATTCTAGTGTCATGACGGACCAATGAAGCAAACTTTTATCTTCTAAATCCTACTTTTAAAAAAAGACTCAGTAATAAAATTTCAGAACTGATCAATGAGATTCTCTTCCTCCCAATATTAGGAAGAATCAAAAAGGAATCCCCTAGGCAACTAATGCTGCAGGAAACCAAACAAGGGCCCTTAGGCTAAGAGGTTTGATGAGTTCACTGAGGAGACAGCATTCATTATGATGTCCCAGGTCACACCTGCCCCTTCATTGTGAAGTACCTCACATCATGCGGAATGAGGAGACCGGGTTGAGCATCTCTAACCCCATGCTTGTGTCTTTGCAGGTGAAGGCCCACGCATTCCTTTGAGAATGTTTTGAAAGGCACTAATGGTTTCTCAGATAAATGCTTGTCTGCATGTTCACAGAGTATTTTGTGTTCGATATGAAAAGGCTACAGAGCACTCCCGGCCTCCTGTGTGCTCGGATCTCCTGTAATCCCATGATTTTATGGTAAGAATCTGGTCTTACAGTTCTGCTAATAAATCTACAAAGTAAGATAATGGTTTGACATGGTAGCTGGCACAGGGAATATCAGCAGTGTGCCAGAAAGGGCCCTGGATTCAAAGGACACAGATTTACTCTGTTCTTACCGTTTCTTTAAGATATTGTTCATACTTTTATAATAATAAATGTGCGTTCCTGGGTGCACCAGAGAGAAGGGCTGTTCATGTTCCTTTTCCAACCTCTTAGTCTTAGTTTTGCACTGTCGGGAAATTGTATTTGTGAAAAGGTTTTGTCAACCACAAGACATTTACAGTTGGGCATCCCTTCGCAAACCCTGAATACCATAATATTTAACTGTGTTCTGGGCTTGTTACCAAGAAGGGACTTTACATGTTCTTCTGAGAAGTAGTGGGATGAAATCACTGTCTGTCTGTCTGTCTATCCAAGTGACCTGGGAAATCTAGTCTATGTACGACATACCTCTCATAATGTTTTTTCCCCTGAAATGGGCACATATTTGACATGAAATAAGTGTTTGAGATTTGAGTCAAACAGATAATTTGACCAATTTACTACTTCCTTTTGTACCTTTCCACTGCTGGCTCTACCTGTTAGAAATGGATTTAAACTGATAGATGACCCTGACATGTGCTGATCTTCCTTTAGCATATATCACATGTTGTTTCCTGAGTAAGCATTCATGCACTTAACACATGGGCTCACAAATATTGACCAGCTTGTGAGGAATTAGTAAGGTTAAGGCTCCTAAAATGCCAAAAGCAGACCTTAGTTTTAACGATACTCAGTGGGAAATAAAAAGAATGAATTCATAGAAACATGAATAATTCTATGATAGTGAGTTACTTATTCTGTTTTTCTTCTGGTTATAAGATACTAAATAATAATTATATAGAATTTGGGGTTAAAGAAAAAGTATAAAATCTTTTGTATTTTCCTCTATTATGTATAAATTATTGTATAAAATGCAACTTTTGTGTACTTTTAGCCCATTGTATATAGATTATTGCATTGGAAGTATTGTAAACTTACACAGATCAACAATTTAAACTCATCAAGGTTACCATTCACTGTTAGGAAAGATGTGTAATGAGCATCTTGCACATTAATTGCAGGATTTAAACCTGACTGATTGGAAGACAGCAGTGACTCATGTATTCAGTGGAAGGGCTTTAGGAAGGTGATTGGCTCATGGGGGTGGGGCACTAAACCCATGTGTGGCTTCATCCATGAATGAGCTCATAGATGAATGTGCTGCTGGGAGTGAGGCTGGTCAGAAGAGGTCGGTCACTGGTGGTATGACCTGAAGAGCGCATTCTTGTCCTTGACTCTTTCTTCTCTCTCTTTGATTCCTGGTTGCCATGGGTTGAGCAGCTTTTGTCCACCAGGCCCTTCCATGACGCCATTTCTGCCTTGGAGCCAGCCAACCGTGGACTGAATCCCCCAAAACTGTGAGCCAAAGTAACCTCTCTTCCTTTAAGTTGTGGGTGTTGGGTATTTTGTTACAGCAAAACTGACTAATACAGTTTTATAAAAGCAACCTGACTTGGAGCCTTCTCTTGTTTCCTGCTCTTCCTTTCCTCTCCTGAGCAGGACAGAGCTGCCCCTTTGGTGTGGAAGGCAAGAGGGACATCTAAGGATAATGGGGAGACCCCATCAAGCTATCTACTGTAGCAATTTTTGGTATAGTAGATATTTGACTTTTTCTTTTTCCCCAGCACACTGTGAATTCTGTGAAGGTAGATCCACTGCACTTTGTCATAGCAACTGGGCAGTTCATAGAGGAGATACTCACTGTGAGAACCACTCACATTTCCAAGGCTTGGACAGGATGACCCTAACCATCTGGAATGTGTGTCCTCTTTTCTAGTCTCCAGAATCCTTGTGTCCCCATTACAGGTGTCAGTGTGGTTCTTCTGGTCAGTGCCCCCGACAACTCCTCCATCCCTTCTGCCACAGGACACCTCTGCATGCAACACGCTTTGGGTGGAAACAGCTGAGCACCAGGCAGAGATGCACAGCACTGTGCACGCTTCACCACATTCCTATCACCCTTCTGCCTGCTTTAACCTGGATCAAATATCCAAATTCTTCATCCTACTTTGTTTTCACAAATCTCATTTTCATTACTGTATAATTTTGACTATTACTGTTCTCTCTGGCTTTGCCACATTTTTTATGCTACTTTCTTTTTTTCTTTTTTTTTTTTTTTGGTTTTTCTCCGGTACCAGGAACCGAACTCACGACCTTGCGCTTGCCAGGCAGGCACTTTTGGCCGCTGAGCTAAATCCCCAGCCCCTATGCTACTTTCTAAATCTAGAGACCAGAGATCTAATCTAGAAGAAGGTGCCTTACTATCTTGCTAAGTTGGTGCTTGCTCTGCCTTCTTTCTGCAAAACATCTTGGCAGGTGCTCATAGCTGGCTGATGCTGGGGCTTCGCTTATAGCCTGTGGTGTAGAAAAATGGAAGACCATTCAAGTCCTGGGTGGGATTCATCCCATCCTGTGAACTTAAGACTGTGCCTGATCATGGTGCTGACCTCAGCAGGTGACAGGCAGGTACATGTGCTAATGCTCACGGAGCTTTCCGAGCTCAGTGCTGGCCCATAATAAGTGTTAGTTATTGTTTCTGTACTGATTTCACTGTTGCCATTACCTGTCGGGCACAATACACTTAAAAACTTAACACAGAGTAAATCACTGAAGTCTGAGGTAAGGAGAAAGGGCCAGGGTAAGGCAAAAATGTGTGTCCTCAGGGATTTGTGCCTACTCATTAACAAAGGGTGGATTTTTTTTTTTCACCAAGTGTAGCATGGGGCTTGGCTCATGCTGGAAAATGTTCATCAGGTGGGTTAATGCAGCTTATCCTGGTACCGTCTCTAGAACCTCTTTGTCAGCAAGCAAGATTTTTTTGTCCTATTAAACAACCATAAAGCAAGGGGAATGTCTCCGGAGGGGCATCCTCGGAGAAAGCTTTCCTCCCACTCTCCCTGGGGCAGCATTATGCAAGCAATTTTGGGAAACTCTGGGGTCTTTACTGTAAGACCCGTAACTCACAGCCCAGTGACTGCAGAGACCCTATGGACTCTCCATGGTCCTCAGAGCACGGCTCTCCCAGGCACTGTTTATAAGCTGCATGGGGCCCAGTGATGGTTGATTACTGCAGTCCTGTGGAGGCAGCAAACACTGAAGAATGGTGGATTGTGTTCCTCCAGGTCCCCACTCTGGTCGCTGAGCAGCTTCCGCACTTCCACTTCCTGGGCAAGACCGCAAGGTCTCCTTCTGCCTTGGCCACTGCTCTGCTTCGGCAATGTGGTGGGGACAGATGCCCGGATAATACAATAATTATTTGCTATTTGGAGACAATTACAGGAAGGCATGAAACATAAATTTGAAGCATATGTATGGAGAGGAAAAAGATGAAATGACTGCACTTTATAGGTGACATAATTTTAAGTCTAGAAATAGCAAAAAGAAACAACTGAAAATGTATAAAAGTTTAAAAATTCCTTAAAGGTATACACACAGGTAAGGTGAACACACTAAATGAATATTGTTCCTATACATCAGCAATGCCCACATGTTTAAAAATTAGGAACGTGGGGAGGGAAAGGCAAGGGAAGTAAAAAGAATTAAGATGTGTTATGTACATGTACCAACACCCCGTGACGGGTACAGTCGGTATATACCGCAAACATGGACTATGAGTAAAATATATTTACTTTTCATGTATGAGAATAACTCCATAGCAGGGCTACAATCTTAATAACCATAGGGACCTAAATGAAAAGTACACACACCTGGAGCACTGGAGGATAGAATGATGCAGCGGTAGAAATGAGGACAGTACTTGCAGTCGCTGGGGCAGCCTGACCACAGAACAGGCAGGTGAAGTGACCATCCCCATGGGGTCCTGCCACTCAAGTGCACCCCAGCCAGCCCATGTGTCATGGGAGATGCTCAGACACACCAGCAAGCGCTGCTGGGGTCTTGGCATGGTCTGGCTCCTGATCCGGGTGGACCCTTGTCCCTGGGTACCCTCCCCTGCTTTTGCGTCAGCCCAGGGTGCGGTCTCAGCAGACCTCCCCTGGCCATTGTGTGACAGTTACACAGCGACCCACTCACCCCTCCACCCACCTGGCCTTCTTCTCTTTGTGGCCTCTGCCAGCTTTGAACCTAAGAGATTCGGCTGCAGTCTCTCCCTACCGGTGGTAGTTTCAGGAGGCCAGGGCTATTTGTAGTTCATCTTTACTGCAGTATGAATGGATGAGTGTAATGAAGTGCGCATACCTTTAAAAGACAGAAAACTACCAAAAATAAACCATTCACCTTGAGACCATAAAGAAATGAAGTAACCAGATGCACAAAGTTTCTCTTATATGGGAAACTCAAAGTATAAATAAAAGAGCAAAATAAAAGATAAGTGATAGGAAAAAAATAGATCCTTGGTGAATGTGAAGGGACTGCAATGGAGGTCAGGAGGAGGAGTTGTAAGAAGGTTCAGATGCCTTCTGTCCATGCACCAGGCACTCAGGATGAGTGGAGTCATGACGTACCGCAGATGTGTACTAATAAAAAGCAAAAATTTAGGAAATATTATATGTGCTATGGTAATAATATTAGGATGGGTATTTTTTTTGTTTTCCAAACATTTTGTGTGTTGGATTATTACCTTTATTTATTAAAACACACTTAAACAGTTTAAAAGGATGATTGTCCTCATGCCTAGCGAGCTCATTTCCCTAATAGTTTACTAGGGATAGAAGGATATAGTAGGAACAGCCAGGCTCATTATGCAAACTGACAACAAAAGCAAACACATACTCCATCTTCATTAGGCTCCTCTGGTTTCCTCGTTTCAAATCAAGTTAGGTGCACTCAGCTACCGCTGGTGTCTATTTCTTGGGAGCACATCATTTATCTTCACCTTTAATTACTATCTTTTCTTCTAAATAGATCGTATGAACTTTATGATCCCAAATCCAATACCTCCAGCTATTCTCACACTGAAGTTAGTTCATAAAATAAATCACATTTAATCTAAATGTTCTTCAATGTATTTTCCTTGCGTTCTAGTTGAATCCTTCTTTAGTTACTAACACTGTCAGTGTTCTGTTTTGGTGTTATGCAGTTGCTGGATCTAGTCATTTTAAAAAGTCTTACACATTCAACACACATTTGATTGGGTTATTTTAGTTTTTGGCGAGATGGGGTCTCACCGTGTTTCCCAGGCTGGGCTCAAATGCCTGGGCTCAAGTGATCCTCCCTCCTCACCCTCCCGTATTGCTGGGACTATAGTGTAGGCCACAGTGCCAACTGGACTGCGATGTTTTAAATTGATTGATTAAATAATGTGATTATTTATAAAGTGGTTACTTTAAGAAACCTTTCATATTAGAGTGAGCAAGAGAGTTAGGATGGTTGCTAATAACTGCTAAGGGGGAAGACCACCCCGCTGTCATTTTACAAAGGAGGCTAGTTTGGAACCTAGTCACCTCATTGCATGAGGACTCCCTAGCGTCCATTGCAGATTATGGAGTTCTTCACATTGCGAGGTTAATCCACGAAGGAGCTTTGGGGCCTATTTTCAACCACCTTCCTTCCTCAGAATACATCAAGATCTCACTAAGAAGGAAAAAATGTTCACCACACTGAGGTTCCCAAGGAAGACCCTGGAGACCCTACTCAAATTTCAGTTATAGCCTTGTGACTGTGGAATGGGAATTGAAGTTTGTGTCTTGGCTACATTCCGTTCTATTAAAGGCCAGTAGCTAGTCATTCCTACATTTCTGGGAGCTGTTCAAGATTTACTACTAAGCGAAGCCCAAACAGTTGGAATTAGTTGACCTAATGAAAGGGCTTTGTAACCTTTCAGAAACATCAAACATTCCCACTCAAGCGAAAATGAAGTTGGCAGCTGTCCGCCCGTGCTCAGCACACTCCAAGGGGCAGCAGGTCCCTGCAGCAGTCAGACCCTGGACAAGTGTGTGCGTTTCTGTTCCATGACCCCAACAAGCTCCATCCGGCCCCTTGGTGAGGTCTTGATCTCTTTATCTGTTCTCTTGGCCCCTAAGGTAATGACAACCCTCTTGCCAAACAAGTTTGCCACAGGATGTTTGCCTGGCTGTATTCCCACCAGCAAAGCAGTCACACATTCATCCTGAAGCAACATCTAAATGTCTGAAATAGAAAGGTCGGTGCCTGTGTTAGGATGTTGTGCAGGACGAGACCGTGCCTTGACATCAGAGATCCACCATGTACTGTGTCCAGGCTGTCCCAAGCTGTATGTGAGAGTGACACACAGGCACAGGAAGTTCCAGAGCTGGGCTCAAAAGGAGCTTAAGATGGAATCATCCATCCACAGAGAAACTCCTCGGGGGAAAATATGTTACTCAGTTTTCCCTTACCATAATGAAATACCTGAGAAAGATGACTCATAAAGAGAAAAGGGTTATTTTGAGTCATGGTTCTACAAATCCAGGCCAAGATCACGTGGCCCTGTTGTTTTCTGCTCCGGTGAGAGCCACACATCAGAGCAGGAGCGTGTGTAGGAATAAACCACCCATGACAAGAGCCAGGGAGTAAAGACGAAATGTGTCCTTCTTGGGGACACACTCTGAGTAACCTAAGAGTTCTAAGAGTCTTGCCATCTGCTAAAGGTTCATAGAACCTCCCAAGAGCCTCCCTGGGGACCCAGCCTCTGACACATGGACATTTGGGGGGCACCACCCCCTGCAAATCATAGCAGATACTTACTAGTGAGAGTAGGAAATGGAATCTGTGGCTGAGGCTTCTAGGTCTTCTACTGTCCATTAACTTTTTCCCTTATCGTCCCCTAGTTTAAGCTGAGCCTATGGCTGTTCAGCAGAAGGCTGTTTCCTAGCTCTCTCGCAGCTGAATATGGCCTTGCAGCTAGACTCCAGCCAGTGAAACTCGGGTCCAAATGTTGCACACACTTCTGTGTTGTATGCCCGAAAGCTAAGGCAGCATACTCCACCCCTTCACCCCTCATCTGGAAAGTGGACGGAAACAAGGAGCAGTGCCACAGACTGCAAGCTGAAAGCCATGCACTGAGGAGAGCAAGCAAAGAATCCAGGTCTCCAACACAGAAGCAGCGGGTCACCTCGGCTGCTTGCACTCCCACTGTCATGAGAGGTAGAAATTCTTCCCATCCCATTGAAGCCACTGACATTTTCTCCAGTGGTACAGCAGTTAGATTTACATCTGAACCAACAAAAGGCCAAGACCTAGAAAGGTAGATATCTCATTCCTTTCTCTGCTGCTATAACAGTTCCCCAGAGTGGTAGTTTATAAACCCCAGAAGTTTGTCTGACTCACAGTTCTGAGATGGAAGTTCAAGAGCACGGCCCTAGCATCTGGCAAGAGTCTTCCTGCTACATGTAAACATGGTGAACCCACAAGCAAGGATGGGCTAGACAGCAAGAGAATGCGAGGGCAACCTCGCCCTCATCAAGGACAGGACCTGGCTGCAGTAACTAGCCCTTCTCGTGATTACAGCATTGATCCTTTGCAGAGGGCAGAGCCCCTATGGTCCCAACCACCTCTTCCTGGTTGCACCTCTTAATACTGTCCCGGTGGCAGTTAAATTTTGTCACGAGTTTTGAAGGGGATGTTCAAAGCACACCAGGGGAGATCAAATCTATTGAGCTCTTTTAATTATATAGATAAGAGAATAGAAAATAAACTAAACTAAGGTCAAAATCGGATTTTTTTTTAACAAATATGAAGAATGAACAAAGCAAAAGGAAAGTTTCAGAGCTAATTTTGTGAGCAATGAAGATCTGTGGGAGGGCTGCCTGTGCCCCACCCAGGGGAATCACTGAATGGGGTTGAGATGAGCTCAGCGTCATGACCACTGTCTCTTAGATCCCACTGCATGGAGTACAGCTTGGAGTGCGTACGTTTGGGATGAATTTAGATTCTTTTCTGTGTCGTATGAGAAGATAGATGAGCATAGCGTGATTTGAACTACAGCAAAATACAATCTACAATGGATGGTTAGATGGATAAATGGATGGATGGATGAATGGATGGATGAATGATGGGAGGATGGAGCTGTTGATCATAAATGATATAGTTGATATAAATGATATAGTTGATCATAAATGATATAGATGATTAAGATATGGATGGTGTAAACAGATACAGATGGTCTAGACCTGGATGATCTGAATATGGATAATCTAGCTTACTAGACTTCCACTTATAGTTGGCCATGTCCAAGAAACAATACCCTCTTGAAATATTGCAGTAGTATTCAATTTCTGCCTTTACTTTTGATTTAGGTAATCAGACCAGAAAATCTAATCAGTAATAAAGGAATCCTAGATTTGAGTTACAATAGAAATCCAGTTATTTGTATCTGTCTTCCATGTGGAGTTAGTAATGATTTGTTAATTATTTTTCTAATTAGTTTTATGATTAAACATTGTATTGGACCTTCACTGTGTCATCAAAACTAATCTCTGTACTCAGAATCCCATGAAATTTTCTTTATAAAGATGAACAAAAATGCTTTGTAATGAAAAAAAGTTAATAAAAAGATTAATTAAGCAAAAACACACCCAGATTTCTATTCAAATTGAGTTAATGTGCTCCCCTTTGTTAAAATTAGGAATGTAAGATGTTTTTTGAGATAGATATACAATAAAAAGCCCAAATAATGACCATATGTTGTATTATTAAAATATGTACTCCGGACTGAAATTTTCCCTCTGTGTGAAGAACCCTCCTACCATGCTTGGAAAGCACTTCCTGTGTGTCACTTGTATTGCTATACAGATGACATAAATCATGGAGGAAAAACTGATATTTTTGGCTTCAAATGAGCAGCATCACAGTTCGGGATCACTGGGCTCTGATGAAAACCCAATACCTTTTAATAAGACGTAACCAGCTAGGATTTGGAATGTTTTTTGTCTGAGAACACAATGCACATATGTATCAAAATCATCACATGTTGCTCCATCTACGTGAACAATTTTATGTCTACTTTGTATCCGTTAAAATAAATGTAATATGAATTAAAAGTAAAAACTGTCATAGAAAAATTAAATTATAAGAATGTCTGAGAAGAAAATAAAATCATATGGAATGCTACAAAAAAAAAAAAAAATGGCAGTAATTCAACACCTCTGGCCCAGAGGAGAAAGCATGCCCCGGGGTCACCCTAGAAAGCGACAGTGACTGGGGCTAGGATGTAGCTCAGCAGTAGAGCCCAGGCGGCCCTGCTTAGCAGGAACCAGGCCCTAAGTTGGATCCATGGCACTAGAAAGAAAGAAAGAAAGAAAGAAAGAGAGAGAGAGAGAGAGAGAGAGAGAGAGAGAGAGAGAGAGAGAGAGAGAGAGAGAAAGAGAGAGAAATAAAAAGAAAAAAAGAAAAAGGAAAAGAAAAAGAAAAAGAATGACCTGGTCCAGGTTAAACTCTTCAGGGAATCTATGGGCTAAAGCACTCATGTAAAGGCTTAACCCCAGCAAATCCTCATGAATCTATAACCAGAATTTTTAAAAACTTAATTCTTAGTCAAGACATGTGCTAGAGAGATGGTGTAGGGAAAATGGAGAAAAATCATCTCAGAAATGGATGGCAGGGCAAAGAGGCCACTGAGCCTGGAGGGTGACCCCCTTGTAACTCCAGCGAGCCGAAACCCATGCAGTGACCAGTGCAGCTGAGGCCTGAGGGAGCATATTACAGAAATCATTCAGTGGACGCAGAGCTTTTGCAGAAGGACCTCGCAGAAAACCATCTCATTTAGGTAGAGTCACATCTCTTGAGCTCTACATATTACATGGTGTGTAAAGGGCCAAGCACCTGGAAAACTGTGATGGAAATTACATTTGACTGGGACAGAAAGTTTCTGGAGACTTACATTGAAATGACTCAAAACAGGCTGAACACAGTTTGGACTAAAAGATGGCAGCCACGCAGTTGTGGAACAGGCTGAGCTAGAGAAGTGGACAAATTAAATCTGGGGAACCAAGAGTCAGGTTGGGCTGAGAGTTGGAACCAGGGAGTGCTAGGACAGCACTGCCCTTCCTTCATCTTTGCCACAGTTCATCATATTTCTTATTTTTTGTTTCTTATGCAGTGTAGAATAAGTTCAATTAACCCTTCTGTTTACCCCTTTGGGGTGTTTTTAGGAGTGAATCACTCTTTCTGGAGTGTCACTCACTCGCATGGCCCCACCCGAATGCCAGTAACTCTCCGGGTGCATCTCCCCACCTGGGCTCTCCCTGGCAAGTGAAACACTGACATCACTTCTTGCATTTCCGCCCCACTCTGAACTCCTGATCTTTCTGCAAACCTCCAGCAGCCTTCCTACCTCCAGCCCGCTGATGGCAGCTCTGTCTTTCCTGTGAGTGGGACACAATTTCGTAGTCACAGTCCATCTCGAAGTAGAACTGTCTATTTCTACAGCATGTCAGCTCTTACCATCCTGGTCAAAGCCAATTATTGTTTGCTTGAAGTCATGCAAAGCAGGAGACTGTTAAATGGTGCTCTTCTTCTTGCCACTCTCTTGCCTGTTCTCAGTTTAACATCAAAATGAATTTTTACAGTTATTTTTACTGGAGTAAGAACACTAAACATGAGACCTACACTTTTAATAAAATTTTAAGCATCCATTCCAAAATTATTCTTTATAGGGACCATGTTGTACAGCATATCTCTGTTTATAAGGGTGTGGAGAAATTATTGATAAGAATGCAAAATAGTGCAACTGTTCTAGAAAAAAGTATGGTGAGTCCTGAAAAAGTTTAAAAAAATACCTACTGTATAAATCAGAAGTTCTAATTTGGGGTATTTATTCCAAAGAACTGAAGTAAAGTTCTCAAGGAAATGTTACTGCCCCAGGATGCATTGAAGCTCTATTCACAGTAGCCGGGATGTGGATGATGGGGATGGGCTTCAGGCTCCTGGGCTCAGGGCTGTAAAATGCAGCCCTAAAATCACCACGGGCAACAGCAATGTGCGACCTCACCCAACCGCAGGCCTTACTTCTGGCCCTGCTCCAGTAGCTATCAGGGAGAAGCACTCCTACACGGACCTTTTATCCCGAAGCCACTTAGTGTGGGTCATCACTTTTCTCTGGCTTCCAGGAAACCTCTGGAGGCAAGTTTACCGCACTGTTGGGATTAGGGCTCAGCAAATAGGAACACAGAATGTCCAGGTGAACTTGAATTTCACACAAGCAACAGATATTCTTTTAGCATAATTGTGTCTTCAGTATCTCATGAGACATCCTTGTACTTGTCTGACAGTCTTCCCTGGGACCCTTGATGGGGGGTTAAATCCTGGGTCCAAGAAAGCACCCCCAAATCCATTTATTCTTGCCCGTCTCGTCCTCTGTTCTTTTCCCTTTGATCAAGCTCCCTCCAAATCCAATGCCAGAGACACTGGGCTCCATCAGAGAGTGCTGCGTCATTAACCCAGCTCCTTCCGTGGATAGCTCTCCGCTCAAGGTGTGCCGGGCTGAGCCCTCAGAATAGGCCTGGCAAAGTACAATAAATCAGACTCACATGTATAAACACTGTACTGTCTCCCTAGTGTAAGAACCTGAAAGAGTAAATAAAATCTGACCACTACAATAGATATGGTGAAAGGGGAAGAAACTGCTCAAAAGGCAAGAACAACTGGGATGAGGGAGAAGAGAACAGAAGGAAGGGAAACTATATATATGAGCTAAGATAATTGTACTACTAATTTCCATTGGTTTATTGAAAGGAACAGTTAATGTTTAATTGTCTGATCAGTCTTACATGCCTATATTTATTTATCTGAGTAACCAATTTGAAGGTAACAATAGGTAATACGACAACCATTGTTAATTTCCTATCACCTTGTCTGAAATTGTAGATTGCTTTTTTTGTGTTGCTTTGTTTACGTCTTTGTGTTTGTTAATTTGTTTTTGTTCCTGTCTTCTTAAAAGAAAAAAAAAAGAATAGG